TGGTCCCAGGACAGACACATCCCTGGGGCACACCGCTCTTTGCCTCTCTCCATTGTGAAAACTGCCCATTGACTCCTACTCTCTCTTACTTCCAGTCCTCAACCAATTCTCAATCCGTAAGAGGATGTGCTCTCTTATCCCCTGACTATGGAGTTTTCGCAGCAGCCTTTGGTGAGGGACTCTGCAATCTCCAAGTCCCCCTTTCCCTCCCTCACCATCCAGAGGGCCAGCTGCTTCTCTGGCAGATTTCCTGCTTCTAACATATTTAAAGAAGCTTTTATTCATCCCCTTTGTATTGCTGGCCATACCTTCCTTCTTTGCCTTGCCTTCCATATCATTTTCTTACATTTCTTTTGTGCTCCTTTTTAGTTTCCTCATTTGGAAAGGATTTCTATTTGCAGAAGGAGCCCTCCTTGCCCTTCAAAGCCTCTTTAGCCCCGCTTGTTAACCATGCTGGCATCCTCTTGGACTGAGTTGAGCCCTTCTTTCTTTGGGGTTATAAATTTCTGCTGGGCACCCCGCTTGTTAACCATGGTTAACCATGCTGGCACCCTCTTGGACTGAGTTGAGCCATTTTTTCTTTGGGGTTATAAATTTCTGCTGGGCCTCTACTACCGTTGTTTTAAACAGGCTTCATGCACTCTGGTGGGACTGGATTCTTTTTACCTTCCCTTTCAACTTCTTTCTAACTAGTTTCCTCATCTTTGAATATTGTTACAGAAACTGTATTCCGCTTTATGGATTGCTACTCCATCTTTTGCCACTCATCCTCATTCTTTTTCCTCCTAATAATTTATTTTTTAATTCTACTTTCTTTAGCAGCCTTTTTGATGTCAGGGGAAAAAAAGACTTTGATTTTAGTTTTGTGCAATGCAGCACCTTTTGAACCCTTTGGCTTTTGTGGATTCAGACTTTATCACCCACTTTTCTTTTACTTGCCTAGTCCAGATAGTAATCCAGTCTGCCCTGTGACTTAAAAGACTTGGACAAAGTACATCACCATGATCTGATTGTAGTAGCTGGCAGCAGCCTGACAATGTATTTTTCTCTCTCACACACATGAACACACACACACACATGAACACACGCACACACACACACGCGCACACACACACAAACACAGAGTGCACTCCCTCAAAGTGGAAGCTGACAAAATTCTGTTGACACCACCTTAGTGCAATCCAGCTGTTCCTGAGGGGGGGAGGCTTCTGGTATTGACGATATAGAGGAATATTCAGTCAGTTTCATTAGTGCTTTTTCCTTCATCCTAAGGGTATCTACGTAGGCAATGGTCTGAATCAATTTAAAACAAAAACAAACAGCCTGGTAGGCAGAAAGACAGCCAATGGTAGAGGGTGCCTGTGCAGAGCTTGCTCATCCCTAAGGAATGAGTGAAGTCGTGCTAGTGGAACTGTCACACACCCACACTCCTTTGGAGTTGTTGCCTGATACTCTCCAGATCCCCAGCTTCTTTCCATCAGACCGGGGAAACCTCGGGAGAACTACCAAATTCCGAAGAGTTTGCTTTTTCTCTTTGTCTTTCATTACTGGCCCTCTGCATTCTGTTAGAACATTTTAGACCAGGGTTAACACACAAAAATGCTCAGTAGATGCCCATATGGTCAGGTTCTGAGTTAAGGACTTTTATCTGCCTTCTGTGCTCTAAAATTATTCCAAGGCATGGGGAAATTTTAATGCAATTTACTGAAAAAAGAAGAAATACAGAGCAAAACAAAAGAATGGATGGCAAAATCATGGCAAAAACAACATTCAAAAAATGTTCAGGCTTTGGACTTCAACAGGAAATGTCACACTCCTGGAAAAGTAACAGATCCTGAGTTATCATATCCTGGATACCTTACCACTGAACGCTTCTACCCTAAAGCCAAGCCATGCAGCAGGAAGAGAGTGCAAAGCTCAATTTTTGTTTTGCTGTTCTTTTTTGTTCAGCTCAGCTTTCTTTCTCTACCACAATATCTTCATATCCTATCTTTATATGGTAAAATGCCTCAGGCTACAAGCTTGCTGTTGCCTGAGATTCTAATCTAATTCCTTAATTTCTTGTGAAAAAGACAGATAATTAGTCATTCTCCTGGATGGTTGCTTCTCCTCCTTTGTTTAAGCTATTTACCTGGAGGTCAGGAAATTGAGGTTTGTATGTAAAAAGCCAGTCTCCTTAGTATAATTTGACATTCACATTCTTTCTGCCATTGTTATTCTATGGCAGAGGCTCTTATACCCTCTACAGTACACAATTCAGTGGAATTGATCTGTATATCAAACAACTCCATTGTTAAATACTCAAATACCAACCAAACACTATCTCGGTATTTTGATGCCATGTATCTCTCTTTTATGTCTGAGGAAGTGCAATTATCCACAAAATCTCACATTAAAACATTAGTCTTTAAGATGCCACTATGTTTTTGCCTTTTTTATTTGTTCTTTCGTTTTTATTTTGTTTTTACTATAAAAATACACATCAAAATTTCCCTTGAAGATACCTCTGCTCAGAATTCGAAGCCGACTCTTTTGAAGTGGGAGTCTCATCTCCCTTTGCCATCTCCCCAGAGCAAACATTTACAATGGTTTTCCGTATTATACCTTACAACTCAAATCATATCAATAGAAACTCACAGTTCCTGTTTCCCATAACTTAATTTCTTGACAATAACAAAGAAAAAGCAGTCCCATTGGATTCCAAGTCCTTTTACAGCTTCAAAATTCCCACTCCCCCAAATATTCTGATTGTTTGCTGATAACTGCATTTGCAAGACTATTGCATGAAAAATTTCCCATACGATTTGACAGACAAAGACAGGTCAAACAAAAGAAGGGAAACAAAAAATAACCTATTACATTCTCACATTCTCTTCTTTCATTAATACAAATCACTCATGTTTAAGAGACTCTCTTTTGCAAAGCAATGCCAGGCCATGAACATAAACAGCCTCTTTCATACTTTTTTTCTTCCATGTTGACACAAAAGTCTCATCCCTGCAAATGCTATTAACATAGAACATATGTTAATAAGTAATGCAAAAAAAAATACTGTTTATCAGGAAGTCTGACTAAACCTCAAACTTGAGGAAGTCTTCAAGTTCCTCACCCAGTCCCAACCAAATCCATCAAACCCTGGTACTAGCTGAATCTGAAGGTGGGAGATGACACCAAGAGTGAGGGTTAAATGAAAGCATAATAAAATTTCAAGCAGTAGCTCCTGAGTTTGCTTGGTTTTATATAGTCATGTTACTCTTCTGTGTGTTACGTGCCATCCAGCTGCACCTGACTTATAGCTATTCCAGTAGGGTTTTTAAGATAAGTGAGATATTTAAGGAATGATTTTACCAGTGCCACCTGCACACACAACCCTGAGAGTTTTCATGGCTCAGCAGACTTTTGAACCCATGTCTCCTGAGTCCACTCTATCCACTACACCACACTAGGTACCTACCATAGTCTATCCAAGCATAACAAAAAGAAAGCAGAAACAATAATATTATATTCGTGAAGGCTTTCACGGTCGGGATCTAATGGCTGTTCTGGGTTTTTCGGGCTCTTTGGCCGTGTTCTGAAGGTTGTTCTTCCTAATATTTCGTCAGTCTCTGTCAGCCACTCTGTGCTCTGGTGCTGTCCTCTGAAGATGCCGGCCACAGAGACCGGTGAAACAATAGGAAGAACAACCTTCGGAACACGGCCAAAGAGCCCGAAAAACCCAGAACAACCAATAATATCATAGTTTCTCTAACTGTGGCTGTCCTATTCTTGGAACATCATGAGAAGGAAAAGACAATAATGCTGGGAAAGGTGGAAGGCAGCAGGAAAAGAGGAAGACCAAATACGAGATGGATTGACTCCATAACTGAACCCACAGGCTTGCCTTTACAAGAGCTGAGCAGCTCTGTTGAGGACAGGACCTTTTGGAGATTCTCATTCATAAGTCAGTGGTGAATTGACAGCACATAACAACCTCTAAAACTAACTGACAGTTCATTGATGGCTTTCATAGATTACAATTAACCCACAAAACCTGACACTGAAATAAACATTTGAGTCTTAAAAGCCCCATCATACTTTTCTTTTGGTTTGTTTTTGATTTCGTTACAAATCAATCTGCTTGCTTCCCCTTGATCAGGTGTAGAAGGTGCAGAAAACAGCTTTTCTCTGAGACTCTGGAAAGCTCTCAGGAAATCAAAACGGGCAACACTCAAATGACAGACAAATAGCGTCCCCTCCCTGGTATAAGGCAAGCACCTGTTGTTCCTGCTTTAATACCCACGAAGCTGCTCTGGCACAAGTCAACAGCAGCAACATGCATAAACAAGCATGAGCTTAAAGGTGAAACTGATTGAGGAGTGGAGATGCAATACTATAAGGCAACGTTTGCAGGACAAGACAAGAGCGGGCAACCCAAGGAGAATTCGCGTTGCAGGGAAGCTCAAGGATCAGGAAGCTAACGGCAAGTTCCCCATGCGCCAACTTTATCACTCATTTCATTGAAACAGGAAGGGCAGCTCCTGCTCAAGGGACGCGGATTTTTTCCTGAAGATCTGCCATGTCCCGTTAAACACTCTTCAGAAAAATCTCAACCCCATCGGCTGTTCACTCCTTTGGCGGAAATCCAGGCTGGTCGCGGCGGTTTCGGCGAGGACACACACAAATGCAAACTCCAGAAAGGCGATTGTTCTGGAATTGCAAATCCTCCCCCACCTCCCACCCCATCCCGCGGTCCTGGTCCCAAGATTGAAAACGGCGGGCGAGAAGCCCCACCACAGGACCTTTCAGGAACACACACTCGGGCGTTGCCAGCCCACAACGAAATGCAAATACAAACAAAACAAAAATACAAAAAAGGGGGAGACAGAGTCCCCCCCTTTTTTTGCGGAAAGCGGAGCGACATGACGGACGGAGGAAAGCAACTACAGTACACAGTGCGACCCTCTGAGGGAGGCCTCCATCTTTAGTGCTGGCAAACTCCTCCGAGCCCGGGCCGCTCTTACCAGAGGGTCCTTGAACCGCCGCCGCCTTCTCTTCCTCAGCTGGCGCCACCGGCGAGGCCGCGAACAGCCGCCGGAGCTTTCGCCGTCCGTGCTGGATTCGGTGAATTGAATTGCACCTTCAGCCATAGCGCCCTTCCCAATCGGCTCTGCCCGACAGTGGGCGTGGCCAAGGAAAGGGGCGTGGCCGAATCGAACTCCGGCGGCCCAAGAGTCCGGGGGGGGCCCCCTCAAGAGTCGGGAGTCGATCCCCGACTTCCTTGATTGCTGTGACTTGGTTTCTGATTCAGCGGCCGCCTTCCGATTCTCTGCTTCAGGAAGGCGGGACCTAACAAAATTTTGGAAACCCCCCCTCCCCTTTTGGTCATTGCCCAGAGACCTCACACCGCCGGTTTCCTTCCAAGTCATACCATTATTGTGCCTGCTTTCTGCTTCTCCAGCCCGTGGTATAACGGTAAATTTATACATGCAGGCATTGCCAGCCCACAGGCATTTATCACGACAATTCCCGTAGCGATCTCTCTCCGTCCATAAGGAGAGTCCAAAAATGCTGGTAGCTAGATGCCAAGTGCATATCAACAAATGACAATCAGCTCTTTTTTTAAGGGCAATGACTCCTTATTGCCTATTTAAGAGTAACCCACTGTCTAGTAACTTTGCAGTACATCTGGGATAGGTTGCAACAATATACTGTATTGTTCCTGGGAAAATCTGTTTCTCTTCTAGTTTCTGTGAGGATTGAAGTTAAGCTTTGAAGCAACAGGTAACCACTTGGAGGTGTGTGTGTGTGTGTGTGTGAGGGGGAGTAATGGGAGATGATGCCCTGGTCCCTGCAACTCAGAAAGTCCTGTGACATCAACACTATGAGCACTGCTCTCCAGAGCAGAACCTACGAATGGAACCAAGTGAATGATAGTGACATCACTTTTAGATCAAGTATTTTCAGTGAGAAGTATCTACTTTTCTTTGCATGCCAGGAATGATTTCCTAGGAAGCTGTTTCACCCTTAGGGAAAAATTGTAACTCACAGTAGTTTATTCAGAAGTTCCATGGACTTACTCCCAAGTAAGCAGAGCTTAGAACTGGGCCGCAGTTCCCAGAATCCGGTATGTATTAACCAGACCAATTCTGTGACTGCGGTTATATTACCACTCCAACTATTGTTTGTTTATAACTCTAATAAAGCAATGAATGCTGTACTGTTTGCATTTTACTTACTACTCCATTCCTTTTCAGATCTTGTTGGTTCCAGTTTTCCACCACTTAGCTGATCATCTTCATGTGATGAAAGGAGGCAGCAGTCCATCAAAGCTTGAACCAAATAAAACCTGTTACTCTTTAAGATGACACAAGCCTTGTTATTTTTGCTTCAGCAGCTAATAGAATCACAGAATCATAGCTGCTGAAGCAAAAATAACAAGAACTGTAATCAGTTTAGAACTGCAGAGCTGGAAGGGACACTATGGATCATCACGCCCCCCCCCCCCCATCAAAGAGACAGACACAGCAGGGAATTGAACTCCCAATCGTTCAACCACTGAGCTGTCCAGCAGTTCCTGTATTATCTTACATCTAGTTCCAACTTCCAATCGTTCAACCACTGAGCTGTCCAACAGTTCCTGTATTATCTTACATCTAGTTCCTAATACACTTTTCCAAGAAGGAGCCCTCTTTCAACCCCTTCCTTTTTAAAGACTCCTTCTTACAAAGCCCAGATTATCCAAAACCATTCCATGAGATAGAATCACAGAACTGTAGAACTAGAAGGGTCATCAAGTCATTCCTCCTGATGATGCAGAAAGTTCATAGCCCCAGTATCCCTGGCAGATGGTCATCCAACCTCTGTTTAAAAATCTTCAATGAAGGGTATTCTGAGGTATTAGGTATCTAGATTGTTATTACACCTCAAAACCATATTCCCCCCTCCCATCTAAGTCAGTTATAAAGATATTTAACATCACCCAGGCTTAGGACAGAATCCTGAGGCAGCCTACTTTTCACTTTGTATCCAAAACAAAGAAATGCTAATAATACAAGATAGTAGCTGGAATCCTCTGAGCAGCTTGCAACAGTCAATTGTGGCTAATTGACAAGATGCTGAGGCATATCCAGTTTGTGCAAATGGATACGTTATGGAATGTTGTAGCCCAGCAATGAATGATTCAGTATAGCCATTTTATCACATTTCTAAAACCTAAAAGTACTTTGAACGAGAGCCAAACTATGTCTCAAAAGTGGCAGAGGTTATATATACAAAATTGGGAAACTATTCTCTGCAGATGTTTGCTTCTAGCTTCCAGATGTTGCAAAGGAAGGAAAATCTATGTTTCAGAGCCGACATGACCATGATTTCAGGTAAGTCAGAAACTGAAAACAGGGCAGGCCCAAAGTGCTGCACACCTAGTTAAATCAGCAATTTGATTCAAGGCAAAGGTCGTTATGATGACTTTTGGGCTCATTGGCTGGAGACCAAGCAAACAGTGGGAACAAACAGAGTTTTATGGTGTCTTGTTTTGTTTGCACGGAGTCTCACTTGGGAGTTTAGGAAGTACGTAATTGGAAGGGGCATCCAGGATTTAGCATTGGCCTATGGGAGATCCAGCACTATAATAAGTGAGAATAAAGGCTCAGTGACAAGTTATTCAAGACAATAATAAACAGGCAAATGTGTTTAGCAACCAGGAGGGGAGGCCAGGACAGCTGATCTTTCCTTGGTAATGATAGCAAATAGTTTTCCTTTCCTTTCCAAGTAATCAAAGTCAGTAAAGAACAACAGCTGAGAAGCTAGAAAGCCAGCTGAGCTGATTCTCCAGTAGGGAATCTAAAAATTTCTGGACATTTTGAAGCCATGAATTGAGAAAGCATTTCCCCCCCCCCTTCGATTACCTGGGAAAAATAGCAATGTTGGGGACATAAGAAGAGCAGTTCTAGATCAGGCCAAGCGTTCATCTAGTTCAGTTTCCGGTAACTCACAGTGGCCCCACCAGATGTCTCTGGGAGCACATGAGACAACTGATTGAACGTTTCAATGGCCTTTGGCTAAAATTTGAATAAAATTTGAATTTGATACCCCTCCGCTGCATCTGGCATTTGGAGGTACCTTCCGTCTAAGCCTGGAGATTATACGTCCTCATCATGGCTTGTAACCTGTGATGGACTTTTCCTCCAGAAATCTCTCCAATCCCCTTTTGAAGGTCTCTAGGCCAGATGACATCACCACATCCTGCGGCAAGGAGTTCCACAGACTAACAACATGCTAGGTAAAGAAATATTTTACTTTGTCTGTTCTCACTCTCCCAACACTCCATCTGAGTGGATGTCCCCTGGTTCTAGTATTGTGTGAGAGGGAAAAGAGCTTCCCTCTGTCCACTTTATCCATTCCCTGCATAATTTTATACATCTCAATCATGTCTTTTCTCAAAAGAGCCCCAAGCTATGTACCCTTTCCTCATAAGGGAGGTGCCCCAGTCCAGTCATCATTTTAGTCACTCTCTTCTGCACCTTTTCCAGTTCCACAATGTCTTTTTCAGGTGCAGTGACCAGAACTTTATGTAATACTCAGGTGTGGCCTTACCATCATTTTGTACAATGGCACTACTGTATAATGTTGGCTGTTATATTTTCAATCCCATTTTTAATGATACCTAGCATGGGATTGTTCTTCTTCACTGCTGCCACACACTGAGTTGACACTGTTCACCAGCACACCAAGATCTCTTTCCTGATCCATCACGGACAGCTCAGAACCCATCAGCTGATAAATAAAGTTTTGGTTTTTTGCCCCAATTTGCATTACATTTTCTTATACTGGAACATATTTGCCATTTTGCTGTCCATTCTCCCAGTTTGGAGAGATCCTTTTGGAGCTCTTCACAATCTCTTCTGGTCTTCACCACCCAAAAAAGTTTTATGTCATCTGCAAACTTGGCCACCTCACTGCTTATCCCTGTCTCCAGGTCATTTATGAACAGGTTGAAAAGTACTGGTCCCAGGACAGACAGATCCCTGGGGCACACCGCTCTTCACCTCTCTCCATTGTGAAAACTGCCCATTGACTCCTACTCTCTCCTACTTCCAGTTCTCAACCAATTCTCAATCCATAAGAGGATGTGCTCTCTTATCCCCTGACTGTGGAGTTTTCTCAGCAGCCTTTGGTGAGGGACCGCATCAAACGCCTTCTGAAAAGCAAAACAAACACATCTACTACTCATTTTTAAATTCACAGAAACTTATTTTACTGCTTTAGCAGTATAAAATGTCTAGTCAAAGCTCTGCATATAACCCTTGTGGTATTTGGCATATTTATGAAATGTAAAAATATATAAAGTAAGTTTTTGATAAGGAAAGTAATAAACATGCTCTGTACATAAAGTGAGGTCTGCAGAATGCTGCACCCCTTGCAACTGAAGTGTCTGGCAGTAACACTTAAGCAAATGAAGTTTCTGCTGAGGAGGGCAAAGGAAAAAATGAAAGAAAACTGAAGTCACACATTTAATAATAAACAAAGGGGTGGTGTCTTGTTTGGATAGAAATGGTCTTGCCTCTGCTGTGGCTGCCCCTGATAAACCAGAGCAAAGTTCACGAGAAGGTGGCAAGCAGAAATCCACAAGCAATGGACTCCACCTCCACCCCACCACTGATAGGCTCCCAGTTCTCACTAGGTGTAGATTGTTTTACAAATAGTGCAGTTCCGGACATTTGAGTGATTACAGGGCTGCTCTTTTACCACCTAGTCCAAAAGTGACACCCCCAATTCTTCCTGTTAAATGGCACTATTGAAACTGTGTAAGAACAAGTGATCCAAATAAACCACAGGACAGATGAAGGTTACTATGTTCATTTTAGAGAGTATGTACAGTACGCATAAACTTGCACTCAGTCTTTGTATTGTGAGTTTTAAAAAAACGGTTGACCACCTTGAGCATGCTGAACAGGACTGGATTCCAGAGGCTCCTTTCTTTATTTACTAGATTCACTTGCACCACCCTCTGTTTTCTTTTCTCTCTGGCAACATGAATCATGTAATAGTAACAAAAACAAAGAAATGAAAACTGTAGATTTTTACTAGGCAGGTCAGTGATGCCTAACAGTGGCCTTACCTGGACTGAAAAGCGATAAACGCAAAATGCTTATTCTTTTCCACCGATTAAATTGAGAGCCACCCTGACGTTAGTCAACCAAAGAAACCTTCTTTTTATTTGATTAGACAGCCACAGTATTTCAGAAGATTGCAACGAAAAATAAGTTTTATTTGTACTTTTACGCGACATCTGGAGCATTCGTACTGGAGCATTCCCACGAACGCCCGCGAGCGCTCTTCTCATATTCTCAGTCTCGGGACCGGGAACGTTCAATCTTCCGGATGTTTTGCGCTTCAACTCCCAGAAGCTCCAAATCAGAATGGGTAAAGCAAGGCATTCTGGGAATTGTGGTCCAAAGGGGGTTCCCAAGCGCGCCTCATCTCTCCGCGAGCCAGAGGGCGGACAGGATGACGTAAAGGAAGTACAATCTGGATTTCCCGGAAGGGACCAGAGAGGCCGCGGGCTGGGCTTGGCTCGTCCCCCCGCCGGGTTGCCATGGCCGTGTCGCCGTACGTGCAGGCCATGCAGGAGCTGTTCCGGGCGAACACGCGCAGCCGCGAGTTCCCAGCTCACGGAGCCAAGGTCCACTCGGTGGCCTGGAGCTGCTGCGGCCGCCGCCTCGCTTCGGGCTCCTTCGAGCCCTTCGTGTGGGGACTCTTCGAGGGGATGGGATGCGGGGGGGTGCGAGGACCCGAGATGAGGCAGCCGGCGCTAGAGGACAGCGGCCCTCGCAGTAGCCGGAGAGGGCTGTTGAACCAGGTCTGCTCCGGTTGCGCGCGGTGCTCTCCAGCCTCTCCGTTGCTGGCACTCTGAGGGTGTCCTCTCTTCCGTTTGGCTGACCGGTCGTATGTCGTGAGAATGGCTGAGGGTCGGATTCCAGAAGATCCCCTGTCTGGAGAATTAGTGCAGGGAAATCACCCCAGAGGGAGACCACAGCTGTGATACAAGGACATCTGCAAGTGGGATCTGAAGGCCTTAGGAATGGACCGCAGCAGATGGGAAATCCTGACATCTGAGCATTCAGCCTGGAGGCAGGCGGTGCATCACGGCCTCTCCCAATTTGAAGAGACCCTTGCCCAGCTGGCCAAGGCAAAGAGGCAGTCCCAAAACCAGCAAAATCAGGGAGCTGGACGGGACAGATTGTATTTATCTTCAGCGTGGAAGTGATTGTCACTCTCGAACTGGCCTTCTCAGCCACACTAGATGCTGTTCCAAGACCTCTATTCAGAGCACGTTACCATAGCCTCTCGAGACCGAAGGATGCCAATGTTAAAAGCGCTGTGGCACAGTCGTCACATTCTGGTTCTTTAAGGCAGCGGTCCCCAATCTTTTTCAGACCGTGGACTGGTTGGGGGGTGTGGGCTCTGTGCGCAGGGGGACCCCTGTTCTCGCAGGGGGCATGTCACACTCATGTGTGGGTGTGTCACACTTGTGGAGGGGTGTGTCACACATGTGTGGGTGTGTCACACTTGTGGAGTGGCATGTCATGCTTGCGGGTGGGTGTGTTGCGCTTGTGGAGGTGCTTGTCACGCTCGTGGGTGGGCGTGTTGCACTCACGTGCATGTGCAACACACCCACCCACATGTGTGACAGGCCCACCCGTGAGCACGACACACCCTCCGTGCGTGCGTGGGGGGCAGAGATCCATTTCCATGGCCCAGTTCAAGTGGCCATGGACCCTTGCATGTTTCTTGGAGGAACACTGTTTCACAAAAGCTTTTTATTTCCTTGGAGGGACATCCCCCATACGTGCACACACATGTTGTGTCATTCCATTATTTATACCTTGACATTTCCTGTCTAGGTGACAGGCTTCCTCCCCCCCCCCCCCGTGCAGTTGCTNTGGCAGAACAAGATTTCATTGAATTTTCCAAAGCTTGACTGTCAGGGCAGAAAGGGGGAGGCAAGAGGAATGTTTTGAGCAGTTCCAGAAATCCTTGCGCAGAGATAAGAACACATAGTGGTTTCTGGCAATAACATATGATCTCTGAGTGCTGCAGAGTGGGAATGTAGAGGTCTTGGAGTATCAGGGTAAAGAACTGGAGCTTCTCAAAGACAGTGAACAGCAGTAAATTATTCCAGTTATAACGGTATACTGCATAGGAAGGAGAAACTGATGGGCTTTCTTTGGCCCATTGGCTCAGGCTTCCCACCCCTGAAATAATTTATTGTAAGCCGCTTTGGAGACCTTTCATGTTAAAAGGTAGGGTATACATCTTTAAATAAATAAAATAGGTAGTATAGCTTAAATCTGACAAGGTTCTTTCAAAATGCTAAAGGAACCTTGAAACAAAAGCTGAGCTCTTAGGCATATATATGGACCTGGTATATGGATAGTTTTTAAGTTTACGTGCTCCTTGATTGTAAAATGCTGAAGAACTTGTAGAACTTGTATTTGTGTGTCTGCATGTATTCATAGGCACATGCTTAATTATCATGATCAGCAGTTAAAAAGTCTACTTTGTTCTGTAGGTGAAGGAAAACAATTACCGTGGCCATGGAGACAGTGTGGATCAGTTGTGCTGGCACCCCAGTAACCCAGACTTATTCGTCACAGCATCTGGAGACAAAACCATTCGTGTCTGGGATGTTCGTACCACTAAATGCATTGCAACAGTGAACACTAAAGGTAAATGACATTAATATTAAGAAAAGAATAGCATTTTGAATCTTTCAAAATGTTAATTTCTTCTAAGGTTTGCAAATGTTAGAAACAGCAAGTTGATCCTGGGAAGTAGTCATTTTCCACTGGCAGTGGTGAGTGATGCCCAAGGATTTCTTCCCACTCTGTTTCCTCCCTTAAGTTTTAGGTCTTTCTTTCTTACAGCATTTTACTGCAGCTTTGTTTCAAAGTTATTGACTGGACATAACAATCATAGTCATCAGTTTCTGTATCATTAAAATGACACTGGTCATGGAACAGTGTTGCTAGAGTAGATATGAGGGCAGAATTGGCACGTGGATCAGCAATGGCATTTGTTTGCTTTGTAAGTAGCTCTGTTGCAAGTTCTATTGTTGCTTGTTAGTAACAATTTTAATTGGATTTTTTTTGTCTGTAAGCATACTATTCAATTGTATTTTAGAGTTTGCTGTAAATGTTTGATGTGCCACAAACTCTTCATTGGTTTTGCTGCAGCAATTTAATATGGCTTCTCCCAACCCCTGGAAATTGTCACCTGTTTTATGGGGTCATCTTGATTTGCTTTGTTACATTAGGAATCTTTACCTGAAATCCACTTTGTTTTTTTACACACTCAGAAGTCATAAGGCATAGTATTCAGTTCTTCCTAACTGGCAATTAACAATCCCTGCTGGGATTCTCAGATATGCACCAAGCCAACAGGGGTGCACAATCCTGCCTGAGAATCTCAACAGTGATGTGTTCATTGCCAGCTAGGAATGACTGATTGCAACATGCTTTGCCCTCTGCGTGCACAAAACAGCAACAGGATTTCAGCCTTTGATTTCAAGGGCAGAAGTCTCTGTGTTGGCCAAACTGTTGTTGCCCCACATGTTAAATCAGCATGCTCAATTTTCCTTTCTCTCTGCTTTTTAGGGGAGAATATTAACATCTGCTGGAGTCCTGATGGCCAGACCATTGCAGTCGGGAACAAGGATGATGTAGTCACCTTCATCGATGCTAAGACACATCGATCAAAAGCTGAGGAACAGTTCAAGTTTGAGGTGAACGAGATCTCTTGGAACAATGACAACAACATGTTCTTCCTCACCAATGGCAATGGTTGCATCAACATCCTCAGGTACCCTCAACATGGCCTTTTCTAGGAAGGGCAGCAAGTGAGTTGGCTGTCTTGCCATTTGGTCTTGGTGGTGGATCAGTGAAAGTGCTCGCTTTTTCTCTAGAACTCACATGTCTCTCAGTAGCATACCAAGGCTTCAGCAATTTTGTTTGATTTGTCTCCCTGTTGTGGGATACCATAGTAAAAGTACCTTTTGCTATACCTTTCTCTTCCCCCTCCCATCCCCTGATTTTTAACTGTTTCCAAGGATGGCTGTAATAGCAGCCCTGCATGTAGACAAGATCTGCTGCTAGACTTGTTCATTCTTCTGCATAGAGTTATAGCATGTAAAGGTCCTGGATAGTGTGGATTCTTGCCCTCCAAATGATGGTTTGTGCTATCCCTTTCTTCCTAAGTTAGCTTTACTGGAGTCTCCAGTATATGTTTCAGGGGGTTAAAAAAAAATCAGAAAATATATCCAGTTTAATCAGTTAATCCTCATGAACTAGGATTTTTAAAAAAACACAACCCTTGATTGGGATACTTACCCCAATGAAAATTTTAATGTATTGAATATATTGAGAAGTAGCAGTAGGTTTGGGGCAGTCGGGTTTGGGTAATGTAAGGCTTTGATGTACACTTCTTGTATTTCCTAATTCCTCTTCCTATGCCTGATAATCAGAGTAATTTGCTCCTGCTTCTCTGCATCTTTGTTCATTGAAAAAAGAACATGAGACTTTTAAAAAAGAAAAATCCCAATTTGTTATATTGGGTGGGACAAAAAATTACTCCAGTGTAAAAATGTGTTGGGACGTTTCTAGTCCATAACTGCCTTTCCCCCACCCCTGTACTTGGCAGAAAGCTGAAAACTGGGCACACAGTGTACAACTTTCTTGCTTACAGTGCTGCACATTACTTATGATGTAAGTCTGTTTCTGTGTGGATTCTGCGACAAAACCTGACTGAGGAACTAAAATGTCCCATCCTAGTGCATGAGAATATCATGTCAATAAGATGATCAGTAAGAGAGACAAGTTTGGATGTGGTGAATGCATGGGGCGGTGTGTGGAAAAATCAAAGATCTTTATGTTAATAATTCAATAAACTTAAACTTGGTGAAGTTTTTCTCTCACAATGTTATGTAGGCACCCCTATGAGAGATATATTTGTGAGGAGAAATATAAGCTCTCTTATATCACCAGTTGTATCTCTTCACATCAGACAATGCAGATCTGCAGCGTGTTCTCCTGTATCTGACTCAATGGAATAGAAGCAATGTTGTGCCACCTTGTTTTGTAAAGGATAGCAAAATAAAGTATATCCTCTTACATGGTTTTCATTTATCCTCATTTGTGATTCAGACATCTATTTAAACAATTTTATGTTCTTCCTTTACACTTGTGATGTCTCTAGCTCAGTAGGTGGCAGCAAAATAAATTGGTTCTTTACACATTGTAATTTGAAGCTTCAAGGACATTTAGGTGGATGGTGCGCCATCTGAGATTCTGCTGTGTAGTTGGTAAACAGCAGGGAAGTAATTTCTATTGAAACATAGCTTGTGAAAAAATGGATCTTCCCATCTCACTCCATAGTAATCTCTCTTGTTTTTTTACAGCTATCCAGAACTGAAACCAATCCAGTCAATTAATGCCCACCCCTCAAATTGCATCTGTATCAAATTTGACCCAATGGGCAAGTACTTTGCCACAGGAAGTGCTGATGCCCTGGTTAGCCTCTGGGATGTGGATGAACTGGTGTGTGTACGATGTTTCTCTAGGTAAGTTGTTGACCTCCGTTGCTTGTTTTTTTCCCCCGACCATGTACATAGATGTGTGCAACCCTTCCTCACTCCGGTACTCTTCGGATGTGTTAGATTGCAGCTTTTTTTTACCCAGCCAGTAATGCTAAGGTCTGCACTAGCTGGAATAAATGTATATGCCTTCTTTCTCTTTGTAAGTGAATGTGATATCCAAAGTAATGTACACTGGGACAAGACAACTCGATTTTGTTTATATATCGATCTGATCTGACCCGAAATGTTAAATCACAGAGTTATAAAATAACTGAGTTGGAAAAGGCCTATAAGGTAATTCAGTCAAACCTCCTGCTCACTGCAAGAATCCAAGATGAAGCAGATCTGATAGTTGGCTGCCCAGTTTTCTCTTGTATGTTAGGAAGTTTTTCTTGATATTCAGCTTAAATCTGGCTTCCTGTTGCTTGAGCCCATTATTATGTGTCCTGCACTTGGGGATGATTGTGAACAGATCCTCCCCCTCTTCTGTATGACAGCCTTTCAAGTATATGAAAAGTGCTGTCATATCTTCCCTCAGTCTTCTTTTCTCAAGGGTAAACATGCCCATGACTTAGATAAAAGACATGAACTCAATTGAAATCTTTTTGCAGTGGTAGCGAGGTTGACTGATTTTTAAATAAAGGTAATCTTAAATTAACATGAAGCCAAAATTTGTTTTGATCTAGTATTACATTTTTAAAGTTAATCTGTTTCCTAAGAGTTCTGTAGTTACATTAACAGTTGCAACATGCTGATCAAATTAAGGAGGATTTTTATTCAGTTTAAGAGCATAAACCAAACACTTTATTCACACAGTTAATATCTCTGCAGAATTCTCTGATATGAGGTCTTCAGACTTAGATAGCATTTAAAAAGGACTGGACAACTTCATGGAGGATAGTCTGTCAGCACCAGTTAGGCTTTACACCAAATGGAACCTCAATTGCTAGTGGTATTGTTTTTTGTCTCTGATGTGCCAGATGCTAGAAACAACAAAAGTAGGAGAGGTACTTGCTTTATCCACTGTTTACGCAAAGTCATCTTACTAGTCTGTGTTGGGAACAGGATGCTGGTTGCAGAGTCTTCTGTAATATTCCTTCCCCCCCTTCTTCTTTTTCTTTCAGACTTGACTGGCCTGTGAGGACATTAAGCTTCAGCCATGATGGGAAGATGCTGGCTTCTGCATCGGAAGATCACTTCATTGATATAGCAGAGGTAGAAACGGGTAAGTGCTGCTGTTTCCACTTTGTGTCATGGAAGTGATTTAGGTTTCAGTCTTAAGCACAGTCACTATTGAACACACTTACTTCTAAGTAAACATGTATATGTTGGCCCAAATCCTGTTACCTAGTTATTCTGGAGTAGCTTAAACGGTGTGACTTTTAGAGGTGAACTGTCTCAAGTTAAGAAATAACTGTAAACATTATCATTTGCATGAAAGTGTTTATGGTGATTTCTTAACTTAGGGCAGTTTGTCTCTATAAGTTACATCATTTGCTCAGCAAGAGGATTTTGGCTATTGTATGTGTTTTCTTTCATTTGTTGGAGGTATGCTACATACCTGGTTTTAAGCAACTTTAGCAAAGCTGTTTGTATCTGGTTTGGTAAAGCCCAGGTAGAACATCCATGGTGGGCTGCAGAGGAGATATTGTTCAACTGTTATAGGTCTCACAGCAAAAATGCTTGTAAAATATGGTCAAACAGCCCATATTATAGCCACTGGGAATTTTATGTAAAGTGAATCTGTTGCAACATTCCTATTCAGTGGCACTCACTACCTTGTCTTCTGTAAAGGCAGGTCACTGACAGTGTCAGCGCTGCCGGTGTGCGGATTCTAATTGCCTCTTGTATTTTTTAGGGGAGAAGCTGTGGGAAGTGCAGTGTGAGTCCCCCACCTTCACTGTGGCCTGGCATCCAAAGCGTCCCCTACTGGCCTTTGCCTGTGATGACAAAGATGGCAAATATGATAGCAGCAGGGAAGCTGGCACTGTGAAACTCTTTGGACTTCCCAATGACTCATAACAGACATCTATTGGAGACCAAACCTAGGACCTGGAATTCTGAGTCCAGGCAGGATTTTTACAAGCCATGTTTGCTTTGTTTCTACGTTAGGTTCATGCTCTACTTTCTAGAGCAGGAGCTGTACTGTGGCTTGAGAGTTTCTTGTCCAGGAAGCCTACTTTTTGAATTGCCCAGCCATCCTAAAAGGCACAGAGGCTGGCTGAGTAAATGGCATCCCTCTGGTGTCTTGACTCTTCACTGTTTTTTGTCTTGAACAGGGGGGACTACAACTGCTAATGTATTCTACTGTCTGTAGGCTGTGCCTTCCATTGGGAAATCAACTCTAGTTACTTCTGTGTATTTGGCAAAAGCCTCCTGCAAGTTTTTGTTACTATGTCCTTGTCATCCCCTTATGCCTCTCCTTGACTGTGGAAAGGCAGATGTATCCTGGCTTCCCATAACCATGTTTGAAACCTTCCTTTATTCTTGAAGGAATACCTCACCTCATTTGGAGGTAATGTGTATGTTTCATGCCTTTTTAAAAAGACTAATAGAAGAAGTTAGATTGGGAAGTAAAATCAATTTTTTTGTATGAGCTTGTTTTTATACCTCCAAGAATAACTTTGTTTTATTAAATAAATGAACAAAGAATCTCTGTGTCCTATAATTTTAAAATGGCATTGTTAGTGTACTGCTGGAAAAACAGTAACATGAATGCCAGTTGAAGAATAGCCTGTATAGGCCTTCTCGTTGAGTAGCGATGTGATGAAACTGGAAGCTGCAAAGAAGTCTAAACTTGGGAATGCACTTGACTAATCTGTGGGTTCCTGGAAGCTTCTGTTTGGTTACTTTGGGTCAGAATGCCTCACCAGATGGTCTAATCCAGCAGGCTACTGTTAACCATAGAGCTGTGCTGAATATTCTTCTTTCAAATTTTCAAACAAAAATTAGTTGTGCTGGGAATAGTTTTGTAGGAATGGTCTGTATAAGTGTTTTGCAAGTGTAAGAAAATTAGTGCCTGCAATTCCAGCTGTTGTTACCCATATATCACTGATGCTGCTACACCATTTTCTCCAGATTTCTTTCTATTTCTTGTGTTATTCACAGATAATTGTAGGCCATTAAGGATCACATAGGAACTTGGTTTCATAGTGTAATGTATCCTGTCACATTAGCTTGATTATGTGCTCATGTCACTTGGGACAACTAAATCAGTTCAGAGTGCTTTCTGAACAGACTAACATTTTGGAAGTAGTTACTGAAATAAAATATTAAAAGGGATATTTTTTTCATTCATGGTGTTCATCAAAAATAATGAGTGCAATGTTCACTCAAAAATAGGTGGTAGTTTTAGTTTCATGTTAATACTGTCTTTCCCTGAAAATAAGACAGGATCTTATATTAATTTTTGCTCCAAAAACGCAGTAGGGCTTATTTTAGAGGGATGTTTTATTTTTTTCATGTTCCAAAGTCTACATTTATTCAAATACAGTCATGTCATCTTCTTCTGGTTGCTGCACAATGGTGGTGGAGGGCAGGGTTTCACTTCACTAGGGCTTATTTTGAGCGTCGTGAAAAATCATACTAGGGCACATTTTCAGATTAAGTCTTATTTTTGGGGAAACAGGATAGATAAACATTCCTGTGATTACTGATTAAAATGCTACAATGCTTTCAGATGTCTTGAGATTCACTTGCTAATGTCATGGTATTTTTCTCTCTCAATCCCTCTTCTGCTGCATAACAAACACTTTCTTAAATCCAAATTCATTAAACCCAGCTGCAATTGAAAGAATTAGTTGATGTGTTGTTGTTGTTTAGTCATTATGTCATGTCTGACTCTTCATGACCCCATGTACCAGAGCATGCCAGGTCCCCCTATCTTCCACTGCCTCCCGGAGTTTGCTCATAGTCATGTTGGTAGCTTTGATGACACTGTCCAGCCATCTCGTCCTCTGCCGTCCCCTTCTCCTCTTCCCTTCACACTTTCCTAACATCAAGGTCTTTTCCAAGGAGTCTTGTCTTCTCATGAGATGGCCAAAGTATTGGAGCCTCAGCTTCAGGATCTGTCCTTCCAGTGAGCACTCAGGGTTGATTTCCTTCAGAATGGATAGGTTTGTTCTCCTTGCAGTCTAGGGAACTCTCAAGGGTCTCCTCCAGCACCACAATTCAAAAGCATAAGCAATCATAAATATTGAACTAGAACTGGAAACACATGTGAGATATAATATGGACTAGAGATGGGAGTATTCATATTCGTATATGAATACCCCCGCACAGGTGGACATAACAAGGGTCTGTCTACTCACCGTCCACTGCTGCTGCAGGCTCTGCGCTCCCTATCGCTCCGGAGCTCGCGGTGGATTAACTACTCCTGGCAGGAGGCAGGATGACGAGCCTCTCTGCGAGGTCAAGTACAAATACCCCCATCTCTAATATGGACATGATGATGGAACTAAAAAGGCTGAAGGAAGAAGAGGAAAATACTGGCCTACATAACTCAGTGGTTTATGTCTTTGGCTGTGGGTGGAAGAAACAAGTAGCCTACCCCAGGGTTCAGTCCTGGGCCCTGAGCTCCTCAACATTTTTATTAATGGCCTGGATCAGGGGGTGTCGGGAATGCTAATCAAATTGTGCATGACACAAAATTGGGTGGAATAGCTAATACCCTGGAAGACAGAAATAAAATTCAAAATGATTTAGATAGGCTGGAGCACTGGGCTGAAAACAACAGAATAAAATTTAACAGGGATAGGCGCAAAGTATTGCTGCTATGAAAAAGAAACCAAACACAGTTACAAGGCGCAAAGTATTGCTGCTATAAAAAAGAAACCAAACATAGTTACAAGATGGGGGATACCTCGCTCAGCAGTACTACAAGTGAGAAGGACATTGTAATCATCGTAGATCACAAGCTGAATAAGCATGAGAAGGACATTGGAATCATCGTAGATCACAAGCTGAATAAGCACCAACAGCATGACGTGGCAACAAAAATGACAAAGTATAGTTTCCAAATCCTGTGAGGCACTAGTTCCCCTCTATTTGGAACTGGTTAGGCCTCATTTTGAGTACTGTGTCCAGTTCTGGACACCACACTTCAAGAAGGATGCTGCCACATTGGAGCAAGTTCAGAGGAGGGTGACAAGGATGATCAGGGGGCTGGAAATCAAGCCTTATGAGGAAAGACTGGAAGAGCTGGGCATGCTTAGCCTTAATAAGACAAAGGGGTGATATGATAACACTTTTCAAATACTCTATTTCCCTGTAAATAAGATCTAACCTGAAAACAAATCCTAGTACTGTATGATTTTTCATGATGCTCGTAATACAAACCCTACCCCAAAAATAAGCCCCAGTTAAGTGAAACCCTGCCCTCCACCATTGTGCAGCAACCAGAAGAAGATGACATGACTGTATTTGAATAAATGTAGACTTTGGAACATGAAAAAAATAAAACATCCCCTGAAAATAAGTTGTAATGTGTTTTTTGGAGCAAAAATTAATATTAAACCCTATCTTATTTTTGGGAGAACACGGTACTTGAAAGGCTGTCATACAGAGTAGGGGCAGGATCTGTTCTTGATCATCCCAGAGTGCAGGACATGCAACAACAGGCTCAAGTTACAGGAAGCCAGATTTTGGTTGAATATCAGGATTCCTATCTCTTAGAGCAGTACAGCAATGGAACCAATTACCTCGAGAGGTGGTGAATGCTGCAACACTGGAAGCATTCAAGAGAAATTTAGACAACCACCTGGTAGATATCCTTTGATTTGTATTCCTGCATTGAGCAGGGGGTTGGAAGATGCCCTTATAGGACTCCCTCCAACTTCATTGTTCTATGATTCTATGAATAATAATCACCATCATTTTAGAACTGCAGAGCTGGAAGGTACAATTGGGATCATCAAGGCCGGCACCTCTCAGCCTCAGTGGGGAACCAAACTCCCAATTACTGAGCTATAATGGCTAAGGTGGGCCAGTATTTTTCTTCTCCTTTCTACTTCAGCCTTTAGTTCCAGTGTCATGTTGGAATGTCTATCAAGACTGCATTTTATCAAGCATTTCCCTTGTAATTTGCTTATTTGTGTATCTTTTTTCTGAGTAACTCAGGACAATATACATGGCACTTGTCCCAACTTCCTTTTCATAATAACTGTAAGATAGACCATGAGCAAGTAATTTGTTCATGCTGTCTAAATCACAGGGCTCAACAGAAACTTGCACTGAGTCTTCTGAGTCCTATGGCAACATCCTCCTAATAACTTTATACTTACCCATTTTGCAGTAGCTTTGTGTACATGCGATCTATAAGTAAAGGACTGCTTGTGGTAATATAAAAATCTAGCTGTTTGATGTACAGTGCTTTAGCGTTCTTCTGCTGTCCACCTACAGGAGTTCTTAATTTTTTAATGGAGGTCAATATATGAACATTTAAAATAAATAATAAATTAGTGCTGGTGCAAATGGAATTTTCTCATCCTAATACTGGAAGTTGCAAGACATCAAGACCAAGATGGTCTTTATGGTTTGGTGCACATCTTTCAGCAGCAAATTTCCAGAAACCCTAGATTTACCATGTCCTTCAGGCATGTTATTTCCATTAGAGGGCAGTGTGGCTCCTGTATATAGATACCGGTAATAGATTTGTTCTGCCAACTTCCATGGTGAATTATTTTGAAAATTATCTGCTTAGGGTATTCTTGTTCATTCTTCTTTCCACCTACTGCTGTGGTTGTTTTCTTGCAAATCGCACTTATTTGTATACTGCCTGTTATGTTACCATTTCTAGGTGGTGAAAAATTACTAATAATATTCAAACAATATATAATTACACTAAAATCAAAATTTTGAAAAGTAGTTGCTGTGTTGATCTATATGGTGAAGAAAAAAAAACCCTGCAGTTCAGGAGGATAAATAATAAGCATGGGCTCAGATATATGATTAAAAACAACTAAACCTACGGTATATTGAGTGCCATTCTTGTTATGTGGTGTCAAGTTGCTTCTGACTCATGGCCACCCTGGAAATGAGCAACCTCCAAAATGTCCTGTCCTCAACTTCTCTGCTTAGCTCTCGTAAACTCAAGCCTGCACTTTCTTTTTGGGAGTCAGTCCATGTCATAGTTGGTCTTCCTGCTGCCTTCCACCTTCCACAACATTATTATCTTTTCCAGAGAGTCCTCCTTCTTTATGACGTGCCCAAAATAGGACAGCCTCAGTTTCAACTTTTTTTTTACTCCAGAGATAGTTCACACTTGATTTGATCCATGAACCACTTGTTCATTTTTCTGGCAGATCAGAAAATCCACAAAACTCTCCTCCAGCTTTGCATTTCAAACAAATCAATATTATTCCTTTCAGCTTTATTAACTGTCCAACACTCACACCCATGCATAGTGATGATCACAAATACAAGAGTGTGGACGATCTTGGTCTCCAGTGACACATCCTTTCACTTGATGATCTTTTCTAATTCCTTCATTCCTATCTTTTCGAGTCTCAGTCTTCTGATTTTTTGGCTGAGGTCTGCATTTGGATTGAAGATTGAACCAAGGTACTGTATGCAAAATCCCTTGATTATTTCAATGTCTTCACTGCCAGTACTAAAGTAGTGTAGTTTTTCTGTAGCCATGATTTTTGTCT